CCTCCTCCTCCTCCTCCTCCTCCTCCCGTGCCTCCAGCCCTGCCATCTTCCCCACGTGCCCCGCACACGGGAACACACGCACTCCGTGCCATGAATCCCTGTGCCCGCAGTCCGTGCCATGAATCCCTGTGCCCGCAGTCCGTGCCATGAATCCCTGTGCCCGCTCCTCCCGGGCGCCGGCACCACTCCCGGAAAGTGCCAGCTCCCTCCCTTTTCCCTTCCCGGCTGCCCTCGCCTCTGGCACACGCACCCGGCTCTCCCCGATGCCTTGGCACCAAAAACATGGATATGGTCAGGAGCGCGACCTCCAAATGCGTTTTCCTCCGGAATCGCCCGGCAGTGTTGGCGAGCGTTGGCGAGCGTTGGCATGGATGAGGGTCAGGGAGCCTTTCTTTCCCCGTGGTGACACGTCCCTGGGCATGACTCAAGCTGTGGAATTAGGAGGAAACTCTTGGAAGCGCCGGTTTTGTGCTGTTGTCCGGGAGCGTCGGGAGTTTGGTTCCGACTCGGGCTCGGCAGATCCTCGTCGCCTCTTGGTTTAATACAGGCCCAAACTCTGTAAAACCGAGAGATCCCTGTGGATGTCCCTGTGGATGTCTGCTTTCCCAGTCACATGGGGCAGGAGCGCGGTTAGCGGATATTTTGGGATGAGAAGGGGCTTTTTGGAAAGCAAGAGCTGGGAGAGGGAAAAACTGGGCTCGTTATCGGGTCTTGGCAGCGTTTGGGGTTTGTTGTAGCCCGGACTTTGTGGTCCGGGTTGTTGATCCGTGGCAGGAGTTAGGCTGGATTTGGGGAGACCTACCAGTGTTTATCCATAAAAAAAACACCAGGGAAAACCGGGGTGTGCTCTAACTGCACGTTCTCTGGAGAGGGGATTTGCGCCGGTGGTCCTGGTCGTGCAGCAGGAAAAGCGGGAGCTGCCTTTCTCCCGGCAAACCCTGGGCAAACAGGAGCCGGGATGAGCACTGGGACACCCTCCCCGCTTTTACCACGTCCCCTCCTTGCTAATCCAAGCGTTCCTCGTTTGCCAAACGGGGCTCCCGCTTTCCCAAAGCCGGTGGGCGCGAGGGGCTGGCACGAGGGCTGACGTTTTCCTCCCCCCTCCAGGCTCGAGAGCTGGAAAAACGCCGGCCAAAAAATACACGCCCGGCGTCGGAGCAGGGAATAATTTGGGATCTGTGCCGGCTCTGACCCCTGCGGGCGCGTGATTGGGAACAGCTGGGAGGGCTCCGGAGGCAGCGTGGCCTCCCCGGCTCCTCCTGCCTTCCCAGCTCCCGCTCCTCTCTTCTCGCTCCCGTGTTTTGGGACGTGGATGAGGAGAAGGATTTTTTGTTGGCCTCGGTGTTTTCTCCCCGCCCCGGGCGCCCCAGATGGGATCCGGCGGTTCAACGGTCTGCCGGGAGCAGATGTGGCTCCGAAAAGTTTGGGAGGGTTTTCCTTCCCTCCCTCTCTCTCTCTCTCCTCCTTCCCGCTCCATTCCCGGGCCGGAGGGCGGCAGAGGGGGGGGGGGGAAGGAAGAGGGAAGGCCAAGAGAAAACCCGAAGGAAATGAGAAGCAGCCTCTCCACCTTCGGCGCTGCCCTCCTGGCTGCCCGCCAGGAGCTGCCTCGGAGCCGGGCGGGAAGGCGGCCGAGATCCGGCACCGTTTTCCACGCACGGCGATTCCCCGAGCCCTCGGGAGCGCGGCTCCCGAAATCCCGGGATATCCCGGCGCTGAGGTTTTCCCGGCGGATACGGGAGGAAACGTGTGGGGTGGTCGGTGCCGGCGGAGGGACTTCGCTCTGGGATGTGCCACCGCCGTGTCCCCCTCCCGGCCTTCCCGGTGTCCCTTCGGATGAGCAATTCCCGCATGGACGTGTTGTACCACGGAACAAAAACCAAAATGGGTTCAGGAGCACCCCGTACACTGCGAAATCCCGAAACCCGGCGCATTCCCAGGAGGGGCGAGATGAGAGGGAAGCCAGGAGAGCGGCCGCTTTGATCCCGCTCCAGAGGGAAGGTGCCGCCGGCGGCGAAATCCCTGCGGGCAGCCCTGGCACGAGGTGCTTTCTCTTGGCACACCTCTGATCCTCTTCACACCCTGTCCCGCTCTTCCTGCTCCGTTCCTTTGCGGCTCCCCCCGGTCGCTGTTAATTTTCTACCCGGGATTCCGGGGCGGGACGAAGCGAGCGGAGCGCGTTCGGTTATCCATAAAACCCGCCGGCAAATCCCGGGAAGTCCTTTGAAGCGGGATGTGGCTCGGAGTAACCTTTCTTGGGACGGCTCCAGAGGAGCGGTGAGCTCCCTGTTCTGCCTCTGGGAAGCTTTTCTCAGCCGAGATAATCCCGAAAAACCCCCAAAACAAGGTGGCGTCTGCCATTAAAACGCTGTCACTTGGTGACAGAGCTGCTGGAGCCGTTGGATTTAGCAGGGATGTGGCTGGATACATCCCATGCCTGGAGGCAAAGTAGGTTAAAGATCATCACAGAGAAACACTTTGGGATAAAAACACTCCTGAGTCTCCCTTTCCCAACAAAGCAGGGCGGGAGGATGCTCCCGTTTTGTCGCCAGATCCGCGCTGGGAGGGCCGGGCACGAGGAGAAACCTTTCCCGAAAAAGGGGAGCATTGGAATCCCAGCTGGGTTTTGCTGACGGGAGAGTTTTCAGGGCAGGGAATTGCAGGATGTGCCGGGCACGGACCCAAGTCTGGAGGTCAGGGTTGAAGCGGGACCGGCGGGAAGAGCCGCGGCGGCCTCGGGATCACGCGCCCGTGGCGGCGGCTCCGGAGGGAATGTAGGCTCCCAGTGCTGTCCTGATGCATCCACAGGCTTTCCCTTGGGCTGGCTCATCCCTGTTTTGTCCCCAGAAGGATTTAGAAGCGACCACGAGGACGAGCTGCAGGTTGATGGGAGCTCATTCCCAAGGAATTCCCCTGGGAGGGCAGGGCTTTCCCGGCTCCCATTGATGGTGTTGGGAAGACACCGGCTGAGCTCCGTGGTCCTTCTCCAGAGGCGACTGGTGACTCTTACAAGTTAGGTTTGGCCAGTCACTAGTAGTGTCCCTCAGGGATCTGTGTTGGGCCCAGTCCTGTTTAATATCTTTTTTTGACGATCTGGATGAGGGGATCAAATCTGCCATCAGCAGATTTGCAGATGGCACCAAACTGGGGGGGAGTGTCGGTCTGCTGGGCGGTGAGAAGGCTCTGCAGAGGGACCAGGGCAGATGGGCCGAATCCAAGAGTATGAGGTTCAACGAGGCCAAGTGCCAGGTCCTGCAGTTTGGCCACAACAACCCCACGCAGCGCTACGGGTCGGGCACAGCGTGGCTGGAGAGCAGCCAGGCAGGAAAGGGACCTGGGGGTTTGGAGCGACAGGAAGCTGAACGTGAGCCAGCAGTGTGCCCAGGTGGCCGAGAAGGCCGATGGCATCCTGGCCTGGATCGGGAACAGCGTGGCCAGCAGGACTAGGGAAGTGGTTCTCCCCCTGTACTTGGCACTAGTGAGGCCTTGCCGTGAGTGCCGTGTCCAGTTCCGGGCCCCTGAATTCAGGAAGGACGTTGAGGTGTTCAGAGAAGGGCAGTGGAGCTGGTGAAGAGTCTGGAGCACAAGTCCTGTGAGGAGCAGCTGAGGTAACTGGGGTTGTTTATCCTGGAGGGGGAGGAGGCTCAGGGGAGACGGGAGAGGAGGTTGTAGCCAGATGATCGTCGGTCTCTTGTCCCAGGCAACGAGCAATAGACCAAGAGGACACGGTCTTAAGCTGTGCCAGGGGAAGTTCAGGTTAGACATTAGGAAGAAGTTCTTCACAGAAAGAGCGATCGGGCACTGGAATGGGCTGCTCAGGGAGGTGGTGGGGTCACTGTTCCTGGAGATGTTTAAGGAAAGACTGGATGTGGCACTGAGTGACAAGTTGACAAGGTGGTGTTCGGTCATAGTTGACAAGGTGGTGTTCGGTCATAGTTGACAAGGTGGTGTTCAGTCATAGGTCAGACTCAATGATCTCGGAGGTCTTTTCCAGCCTAGTTGGTTCTGTGATTCCGTGACACCCCTGCGTTCCTCTCTCCCCTCAGTGCCATGGCCACCGCGCTGTCCCGGCGTCTGGGGAAGCGCTCCCTGCTCGGCACCCGCGTCCCTGCCGACGGGATGCAGATCCCGGGATTGCAGCCCGAGCCGGGCCGGGCCCCCGCCGCCCACGAGGACGGATCCTGCGCGCTCTCCGTGGAGGAGAACGGCCAGGCTCCCGGATTCCCCGGCCTCCGGCAGCTCCACTCCAGGCAGCAGGTACGTCCCGGGCCGGTGGGATGTTCTGGGAAGCTCCTGGGTTCTCCTGATGGGAAATGCAGCGGGGATGGGCGATTCCCAGGAATCTTTAGTGGGTGTTGTTGTCGATGCTCTTGGCCCTGGCTGTGTTTGAAGGGTTTGGGCCGTGCCAGCTCAAGCAGAGATCCATCCCCTCCGGAGATATCCCCGATCCCAGCCAGGAGTGGGGCTCCAGGGAGCAGGGAATGACACCTGATACTTCCCTCCTGTTTTCTCCAGCTGTCTGAGGCTGAGGGAGGCGGGTTTGATACCTGAAGTGGCTCCCAGTGGGCTTCTCTCCTGTGAATTTATCCCATCTCCCCATAACCCACCTTTAAATCCAAAGGGAAGTTCCCTGCTCAGACCTTGGAGCTCAGTCCGGGTTGAGGGTCGATGGTTTGGATATCTGGGATGAAAAAGGGAGGAGTGAGGTGGGAATGCCCCCACACACACACATTCCATGTGTCCTGGGCTCCTGATGCTCAGGAGGGCCGTGCCTTGGCCAGGATACTGCCGGGGATAGGGAATAGCAATCGCTCTTAATCCCACTGGAGCAGTTCCTGTTAATTCCTGGCCGGGCAGCGCCGAGGAGACGTAGATCCCAAATCCTGACTGCTCCCTGTGGATCCATAAAATCCCCTCTGGGCAAAAACTGGAGGGCCCCTGAGTGGTTTTGTGGCTCCTCGACACAGCCTTGATCCACACACGCCTCGATCCTTGTTTTCAGGAGGCAGGGTCAGGATTTTCCGTGTCTTGATCCTTGTGCCGATTCCCTTCACCTTGATCCTGCCTCGGGAGGGCTTTTTCCACCCCAATTTCTGCTGGAGTGTTTCCACCCCAGTTTGTGTGTGTGTGTGTGTCCATCCTGTGTCCGTCCTTGGCGTGACACCCGTGGCACTTCCGTGAGGAGATGTTCCCATTCCCAGAAATAGCCAGGGACACACGGAGCGTCCGTCGGCAGGGATACGTTTCCCTTATAACAGAGATAGGATCGGGCTGGTAGTGGTGGAAAAGTGCCCATCAGGAGGAGTTTGGGACTCTGGGAAGGAGGAGGTGAGGTTTGCACATCTCCTTTCCTTGCCTGAGGGAGCTGGGAGTGGAGGAGCCAAGGCGGGAATTCGGGATCGCTTCGCCCGGGAAGTCTCCGCTCCCTCGTTCCCCCCCTTCCAGGTTTTAATCCTTTTGGTAATCGTGGGAGCCCTTGGAGGGGGATGGTGTGGGAATGAACCCAGAGCAGACAAATTCCTTGGAGAAAAGTCCACCCAAAGCCACAACGCTTTGGGAGGCAGCTGATTCCAGCTCGGAAATTCCCTCAGCCTGGGATTGCTGGAGTTGGGAGGGGAGCAAATCTCTTGGTGGTGGGTCGGGATGAACTCTGGCCACCCCTCTGCTTTGCTGGGACATCAGTCAAGTCCAAGCCCTTCAGGACAGGATCAGCCTTCATCCTAAAGCCTTTTCCTGCGGGAAGAGCAGACGTAGGGATCCTTTGGGAGGACACGGATGGCGGGCGACACCAACCCCCCCCTCCTGCCTTTTCCAGGTCCTCGTCACCTCCAGCGGGCAGGAATGTGAGCAGGGGAAGGTGCTGCTGCCAGAGCAGGGCTCGCAGGGCTGCTGGAGGGTGCAGGACACGCTCCAACCTCCCGCTGAGATCCTGCAGAGATCCGTGTCCAGCAGCATCGACGTTCCCAAGAGGTCCGTGCCTTCTCCCGCTGGGATCGCTCGGGCGGGAGAGGGGCTCGCGTTTTCCGCCGGCGGGTGATGCCACGGATGTACCCGGGATTATCCAGAGGGTGGTTGCATTTAGGATTAAGGGGGATTTTTAGTTTATTCTTTTTTTTTTCCCTTTCCCATCCTTCCCGATGGGAAGGTCGCTGGAGTTGGGTGGTGGGTGGGGAGGGGGCAAAGCTACGTGTCGGGATCTCCGGGGTTGTATCCGGGCGGTTCCTCCGCTTTTCCCTCCACGTGTTTTCCCACCTCTGGACGCAGGAAAGGCGACGCCGCCGTGGAGATGGATGAGATGGTGGCAGCCCTGGTGCTGACGAGCCTGTCCTGCAGCCCCGTGGTGCAGAGCCCTCCCGCCGGCGAGAGCGGCCTCCCCTGTGAGTGCGCGCCCTGCGGGGACGGGAGCGAAACCCCGGAATTCCGGAGGGAAACGGGGAGGGACGCGCTCCTCCCCACGGGATCTCCGGGCTGGGAATCGCTGCCTGTGTTTGTTCTTCAGCCCTGGCGCTGAAGAGCTGCTGGGGTGGTACCAGGATCGTGGAATGGGAATCATGTAGGGTGGAAAAGGCCTCCTGGGATCACGGAATCCGACCATTCCCCAGCACTGCCAAGGCCACCCCTGACCCGTGTCCCCAAGGGCCACATCCACAGGGATTTAAAATCTCTCTGGGGATGGGGACTCCACCCCTGCCCTGGGCAGCTGGAAAACCCTTTCCATGCGGGAATTGTTCCCAAAATCCACCCTAAACGTGCCCTGGTGCAACCTGAGACCATTTCTTCTTGTCCTGTCCCTTGTTCCCTGGGAATTGGGGACCTTCCACCTTATTAAACTTCCTTTTAGTTGTAGGAGCTGGGACAGTGCCAGGACGGCACAGAATCCTTAGGGATGGTTCAGGTTGGAAAATCCCTCTGGGATCA